TCTATCTATCTATCTATCTATCTATCTATCTATCTATCTATCTATCTATCTTCTTTGAGACCATACAGCAGCCCACTCAGCAGTGTACCATGAATCAAATTACATTATATGTTTACTAAAAAAAAGTTTTAAGATTTTGTCTATTAAATTAATACTTTTTTGTGTCAGTATTTCTTCTGCGGGACACCGTAAATCACAGCAAGAATGTATAGTCTGTATTCGGTAACATATCTAAAGTTGTAAACTTCACACAAAGTGGTAAATTAAACGCACAGCTAAACCACAGACATATTTATATTAGGTATTTATGTCTACGAGCCAAACAGCCGCTCTACGCTGAAAAAAAATAAATAAAAAAAGCCGCTCTACGTCGCTTGTTGATGACGTCATAACCGCGTCTTCCACAGATATCACATAAACACAGAGCAAACATACACTGAATAGTTGTTGCAATTATGAGAAAATGACAAGTTTCTCCAGGAATTAGTTGCTTAATTAACTCAGCGCCGCTTCCGGTAAGACAAAAACTAGCTTTGTGTGTATTTTTACGTCTCGACGCTCCTTTTCATGTTTCTTTCCACGTTACACTTTTTGTTCACAAATAACTCGTACAGTTTGCCAGAGCTCTAGTTAACCTAGCTACATTGTATTAGTCTGTTTTTTACAGTCATGGTAAAACGTGTTTCTGTTTGTCAGTTATAAGATGTTGGGTGTCTGGACTTTATTAGAAATAAAGCAACAAGGAAACCAAAGGAACCCCCTCCTGGTCAATGCGTCCTCTGAAGAACAACACATGTATTATTGTCCACCAAAACGATAAAATGCAGGAAGAGTGTGGAAAAAAATGCTGATTTGATATGAATTAAGGGAGTAATTAGCATCTAGGTGCTGCCTGCATGTATCAGCTCCAACACAAGTTGCCAGCTCATTGTTGAAATGCTTTAGAAATGCAGCTCTTTTTGAGACTACATGTCCCAGCAGAACACCTCATCAGCCAGAACTACAGTCTCATCCACCAGACTAGTGCTTTACCACACAGAGATGAGGCACTGCAGTGTCATTAGTTGCAATTAATTCAAATACAAAACTTAGAATACTCACTCCTGGTGTGCACGGGTTGCTGTGAATTGCTTCCAAAGTATATTTCGCAAGTTTATAATAACTTGTTCAGAACCCAAGAACTAGTTTAAAAGTCAGTTTGTACAGATTTAAAGAGAGTTCAGAGTTCAATACTAACACAATTAGACTAAAGACACACTTCTAACATTAATTTTGTTCACATTCAATCATTAACTTTTCACAAAAACGGGTAAATATATATTTGTCAGCCTATTATTTAGGAATGTAACAATGCCTTCAGTTCATGAGATAATACACAATGCTGTGCTAATAAGAGCAGTAATTTTCCATAGATTTTAGGAAATGTCAAAGATTAACTATATCCTGGAAAAAAAGCCCACATAAAACATATTTTTAGCACTCCTGGAGGGGCTGACTATGGTAGCTAAGTATGTCAGTGCCACGGTCTTGTAATCCTAAACCTGTGGGTTCAAGCCCAGGTTGTGTTAGGAAGGCCATCCGTCGTAAAATAGTTGTCCAATGTTTCATTCGAGTGCAGTTGCTGTGCCGACTCCTCCAGAATGGAGCAGCTGAAAGAAAAACAATTTACACTTCTGGAGGTTTTTCCTCAAACTAAATGGACTGGCCTTTCTTCTGTCTGATTTTTCACGAGTCTTGTCAGACCTTAGAACAGTGTTTTAAACTATAAATAACTTCTAACTTTGTATCAGCTGTATGACTTTCCAAATCAGGGATGTCATATTCAATGTCTCAAGAGCCACAATAAAAAATAAAACATATTCAGGTTTTACCAGATGAGTTCAGGCAGGAATCCTATGTTGTTTGAAGATGACATTGTGATCTGTGGTGAGAACAGGGAACAGGTGGAAGAGAACTTAGAGAGATGGAGGTATACACTTGAAAGAAGAGGAATGAAAGTCAGTCGTTGTAAGACAGAGTACATGTGTGTGAATGAGAGGGAGGCTGGTGGAACAGTGAGGCTACAAGGAGCAGAGGTCACAAAGGTGCAGGACTTCAAGTACTTGGGGTCCACTTTCCAGGAACATGGGGCGTGGTGAGACCAGCGATGTTGTATGGTCTGGAGACAGTGGCATTGACAAAATGACAGAAGAAAGAACTGGAAGTGGCAGAAATGAAGATGTTGAGGTTCTCCTCAGGAGTGACAAGTCTGGATAAGATTAGAAATATGATAATCAGGTACAGCACAGAGATAAAGTTAGGGAGGCCAGACTGAGATGGTTTGGACATGTCCAAAGGAGGGACAGTGCGTATATTGGTAGAAGGATGTTAGAAATGCAGCTGCCAGAAAAAAAGACAAAGAGGAGATCTCTGGATTCAGTTAGTGGAGTAGGTGGAGGCTGCTGTGGCCTATTTCCATTTCTTTAACTAAGGTTTGTCCCATGTGCAGATTACAGCCGCTGTTCATTCTAATGAGCTTTAATGCTGCTATTTTGATTCAAGGTTTTTTTATTTGTCATTCCACCACATGTGCTGCTTATGATGGAACGAAATTGTGTACACAGGGTCCCAGTTACATCTAACAAATGTATTAAAATGTATAAGAAAAACAGTAATAAGATCTAAGATATGAACTAAGAAAAACGTTAATAAAAATACTTATTCTTATCTCTAACTATACGTTAATAAAAACACACTAAACACTGGTAGTACAAAAACAATACACCGAACAGCAGCATGAACATGAGTCTGTGTGAGCAGATGTGCACACATGAACACAGCAACATGAAACAGATCAGCAGCAACATGAAACAGATCAGCAGCAACATGATGTGATTTTTCACAGTGATTATTCTGGTTAGAGATTCATGAGTCTAACTACTTTAAGATAGAAGCTGTTCCTCAGTCTAGTGGTTCTACACTTAATGCTCCTCAACCTCCTTTATGAGGGGAGTGGGGCAGAAAGTGTGTGCTGGGTGAGTGAGGTCCTTCATGATGCAGGTGGCCCTCTTCCTGCATCTGGAGGTGTAGATATCTGTGATGGTGTGGAGACTGACTCCAACAGCCTTCTGTGCAGCCTTCACCACTCTCTGCAAAGCTTTTCTTTCTGCAGCTGTGCAACCTTTGTGTTGCACTTAGTTCAATCCCTCTAATTATATTAATAAAACAGCCTTTCTAATGTCAAAGAAAACAATAAAATCAGACAATGAATTAGTAAGTTAACTGCTTTTAAGATGGTCATTTACAACTGTGTATAAAATACTGTGCAGATCACTTGAGCTGTCCCTTTATTTAAGTTATTCTTTATCTCAGCTACTCTATAAACATCTTTTTTCAACAGATATTGCTTGTATTTCCACATTGTCTTTTTACCAACTAGCTGTTGGTGAGATGTCGATACACCTCCGATCTGTCCTAAACAAAGTAGACCCCATGAAGAAATTTGCTTTAACAATTTACAAATTGCCTTTTCATGGTGTACACAGAAACACTAAATGTGAATTTATTGATTTGATAAGGAGTATAATTGGATCATATTTATTTGATTAAATATAAATGATTGCAATTTATCATGTAACTTATTTTTTTCATGGTTTGGACTTTAGCTAGTTCAAAAACCCATTTTTAAATTTGTAAATTTCCGTAACTGTTCCATCATTTTATTGAACAAACCGAGTTATGTGTGATTCACAGAAGCTTCAGTCTGATTGTGACTGTAAAACTAGAACTTATCACCAGCAAACTGTTTTTTTTTTCTTCCACTATGGGAGTGTGCTGTTTGTGGTACTCTGTTTGTTGGTGGCTCCTCAGATTGAAGAAGTCGTTTGGATGAAAGACGAAACGTCTCAGCAAAAAGAAACTGTCCCGATGACCTGACTGAACATTGTTGTATTTGTACCTGAATTGTTGAGCATGAACTTTGGTGTAAAACTAGAGTTTTTGATGAAACGGTTTCGTTGGCTATAGCTAGGTACAAGCAGCGATGGCAGCTTTGATTCAGTCACTGGTTCTGTTTGATTTATCTGATTGGTTAAGTAGATGGACGTTTTGTTTTTGTCTATGAAAATAACCCTTGAGTCACTCACTAATGCTTGTCTAGATGTTCAGCACATTGACTCTACACCATACCTTTTTCTCTGCTGGACTAAAAAAGTAATAAATTGTCACCACCTGTTCACAAATGAGCTTTGATTTAACTTCTCGTTTAGATAGCCTGCGGAAAAGAGGGTTGCACGTTTCAAGAGCTGTAAATCCTAAACACTTTCTCCAGTTTGGCTGTCAAAATAAAGCTGAGAGGCTGTGACTGGAACATGTTTGGTGAACTGTGTTAATACAGCCAATGAACACATTTAGTCAATTTTGCAGTTATAAACACCACCTTAATGGCTACTCTTCTGGCAAGTTAATTACCCATGTATTACTATTAGTTTATGGCCAAAGTAAATCACTGATTGAACAAATACTTGTTTTGGAAACTGGATAATAGAGTTTCTTCATTCTGCAGTACTCTGAATCTGTAAGTGGTTCTTGAGTTTCCTCTTTAGGGGGTATTTAGGTTTTCTTGGCCAAGCCTTATGGGGTATTTGATGGTTAACAGATCTGTTCTCCCCTCAGCCTTTCCGTGTTAGCTCGACCCCCTGCAAACGTTCTGGTCTAACAGCACGTCAGGGCATTTACAATGTACAGGCTACAAGAGACCGCATAAGGAAAATCTTTGAGAAGCAGCCGGAGGAGTTCACTTCCAAATTACTTTTTCCTAGAAGTGAAGTTTCCAGGAAATCAAAATTTTAAATGTCAGATTTATTTCTGTGGCTTATTGTAGCATTTTACATGACTTTTTTTAAGTCTTGGCTTGCAAATCAAACCTCAGCTTCACTCAGCAGCCTGAACATTTAAGGTAATTCATAACTTTTAGTATCAGCTCAACATTGCATGCACCATAAAACTCCATTCAAAAGGTAGCAGCAAAGAAACGTTAAGCAGAATATTGAAAACAATACAGTTTTAGGTCTACGTCACGTTATCTACAGGTCTATTTCACAGCAAGTGTTTTGACTGGAAAGACTATGGAAAATGTGTATTAATGAGGGCTGTATTTGGGTAGTATTTTACTGAGTTGTGTTTCTGATGACTAGATACCAAACAGCATTAATGGAAGTCTCTTGGGGTTTGTAGGGTGTTTCAATTTCCTTACATAAGTCATAGATGTTCACAGTCTAGTTGCACAAATTTACAAAATGCTTTAAAATGTTTGCAACAAAATTTATTTTATAATATTCACCTTGCCTGTCCCAAACCATTCTCAATTTTTGTTGCAAGTGTCTTCAGTTTGTCTCAAGAGTGCTGATGTTGTATTTTAACTAGAGGCGCACCAATAAATCGTTCGGTCCATTTATTTGCCCCGATTTCCTTAGTTTTGGGTGATAGGCGATAGGCCGATACTTACATGAGAAACCAATTTGTTTTGTAGTTTTAACAACAATTGTCTGAACTTCATTTATATTTCAGAGCACTACCTCATGACCAGTTAAAACAAGTTTGTATTGTTTCTAGGATATTGTTCAAGGGTACGTTTTTCAATAAAATAATATTGGAAAATTGACATTGTGACCTTATAACACCAGACAGTGTCACTTATAAAACAAAATCGGTATCGGCCGAGATTGGAATCGACAGCTCAGACTTTTTAGAGATCGGTGATTGGCCAGAAAACTGCGTGCGGTTGGTGCACCCCTAATTTTAACCACTGCATGCAAGTTCTCCTCTGACATCTCAGGTCTAAAAACTACACCAATGATAAATGATAATATAAAATTGGTACAAGTCTGCCTTTCTTAATTTTAAAAGTAGTTACAGCCATAAAGTGGGGACAGCTGCAAATGTGGGTGCAAAATGGGCTGAGGTGTGTACCATGTGAATGCACGTAGGCAACAAAATAATGTCAATGGTCTAGAATACAATATTGCAAGCTATGCACAAAGTTAGCTGCACAATTTGTTTCTTATTCCCGTGAATCACTTTTGATTATTTGTTTGTGCTTTGGATTCTAACTCGCACATTCAAAACCGCACTGAGGCAGGAGTGGCGTGTCTTTCCCAAGAACATGATGCAGGATCTGAGGGCTGAACTGAAGGGCCATCCTTTAACTAGAAAACAACCATTTGAGCTACACTCAGCTGACTTGTGATTAGTTGAGTGGAGTTAGACACTAATTTTAACTATTGTTGCTGTAAACAGACCGAAACTACAAGTTGAGCTTTTTCACACTAGGCAAAAATAAAAGTACACCTGCATTTTCTGAACACAGAAACGTGGCTGTAGTCTAACGTGTGCGGTTTGTGTTTTTGCAGGGATGCACACATCAGTGCATGAAATCCACTTGTCGTCCAATTCTGACTCGTCCTACTTCCTGCGGGTGGACTGGGAGGGGCAGAGCTTGGGTTCAGGCTTCCGGATGCTGCTGACGGATGGACAGGATGCCTGGAGAGGAGAGGGTATGAGGGGTTTCATACGCTGTTGGTGCATTCTACCAAAAGGGGGCGCTGTGGATTTTAGTGAGGGTGACCTCAAGGGTGAACTTTGCTGGAAGTTGATGAAGTTGTCAAGTTGGACTTGATAATTGTTCCTCATTTTCATTTGTTTTGTTTTTGTTGTTAAATAAACAATAAGTGTGCTTTTATATTCCATACGCATCTCAGGCTGTATTTTGCTAATTTTTAGCACCTGAGGGTTTTTATCATGTTCCATTACATAAAACATTTGAACTAAAATAGCATGCTTACTTTTTATGTGAAAGCATTCTGCCTCATGTCAGAAATGAGCTGTTTGATAGCAAACTGTGTTTGTGCATTTGCAAGTGTTACAAACTTACATTTGTTACAAAGAGCCAGAGGAGGATCCTGCAAATTATTAAGCAAAAACAACTTTAAAGATATAATTAAAGTAGCAGTTTACTGAATTGAAATAAAAGAAAACAGCAGTGTAAAACAAGATGAACCTTGGAAACATGAGGGGCTCGGTGTCATCTGTTTTTCCTTAATGATAATGCTGAATAATGATGATATTTAGCAACAACACTCTCGCTGCTGTTTATGTGCAGTGAGCGAGGAAGCAGTGAAAAATGAGGCAGAGGAGCTGGAAATGCAGAAGGAGAAATACGTCCAAGACCTCCAGCAGGCTCTGACAGAAACTGAAAACACCTCCTACAGCTTCACCCTTAGCCCAGATCCTCCAAACCGTAGCTGCTCTGTGACTCTGACGTACGAGAAGATCCAGAAGGACATCTCTGTGAGTGCTGCTGATTTGAGTAAAGTCACTAGTGTGTATATCGTTAATAATAAATGCTGTTAATTGTTGGAAATCATTATGAAATTTAGCTTCCTGAGTTTGGAAAAGCTTTTGAACATACCATAATTTAATAAAAACATGTATCTTAACATGAGAAAAAGATTACTGTAGGTTGCTCTGAAATGCTATAGACTAACTTGTTATGTTTGCTAATTGACAGATCTCAGACCAGCTCAAATCAACCACACTAAGGGAGGTTTTGATTTGACCAGCTTACATGTGAAATTACAAACGCATCATAAAATATTATCTGCTTAACTTCCCTGTTTTATCTGTGATCGTGTACGGCGCAAAGGTGGTAATGTTTTGACTTGTGTTTGTGTGTGTTTGTCTGTAGCGTTAGCAAAATATCCAATAAAACAAGTTAAATGAAACTTCCCTACAACACCATTTCTCAACAAAAAATGTTAGTCTAGTATGAAAGGTGGGGGGCAATATGTATTTATTTAAGGAGTGATTGGCTTTTAATCTTAAAACAGTATTTGTGCTCTCATTTTAACTCATCTGCTTGTAAACCACTTCAATTTGAACTCTTTTCATTCTACTTAAAATATGTTTTAAGTATAAAATTGTATCCCTGAAAGTCTGTTGGCTAAGTTACAGCTTTAAAGTAAAAACAAAAGGCAGCGGTCATGCTTTGTTGATGAAACCACATCAGATGTTGGTAATAATGGTAAAGTGGAGGGAGAGTCCACCTAACTAAGGTCTCCAGTCCAGCACAGGGACACATGGAGACAAACGAGACAAACAACCATTCACTCTCTCACTCTCACCAAGGGACAGTTTAGACCATTCAGCCTAACATGCATGTTTTTGGGCTGTGGGAGGAAACTGGAGTACACGGATAAAATCCACACATTCACAGAGAGAACATGCAAACTGCACCCAGAAAGGCCCCCTACTGGGATTTGATCCAGTAACCTTCTTGCTCAGAGGCAACAACTAACATGGCGGCAGCCAGTTTTTGATAGTGACCATTCTTACGCATAAATGCAGCCACACACTAAAATTGAAGTTGTTACCTCGCTTATCTTTCAAGTTCTGCTCAAAACATGCATGATGGACAGACGAACAGGTGGTATTTCCATGTCCCTCTTCTTCACTCTGTGAATAGGGAGAATAAACTTAGATGGAAATTATGTGCAAACACATTTGTTCACTGAGACTCTCCTCCTACTCTCTTATCTTTAAGCTCAGGGTTGATCAGTGCAGAATATTTTACAGTATTAAACAACCCTACTGTGAATGTGACTGAATTTTTATTGTTTTAGGCTAATTCAATAGGACCTGTCAAAAAGCCCTTATTTATTATCTTAGACATTTTACAGTATTTTTTTATGTATTTTTTTTTTTTTTTACTTTTTTGTTTTTATTGTCTGAAAAGAAAGTAGTAATTTCTAAGAAATGTTGACCGTTACCATGTCTGTACTGTTGGTGATGTGTAAAAATCAGGTTTTCCATTTTTTAGCAATTCTCTTACTCATCCATGCTTAAAGGTCAACTGTATGAACACATCCTTTCATGCTTTAGATGCTGAAATCTTTGTTGCCATGGCAATTTTTATGACCTAATGGAAGTGTGTGCACATGTGCTGCAGCAAAAGGGAAGTGAGTCATAACTCATGTTTAATAATAAAAAAAAAAAAAAATATATATATATATATATATACATGTATATATATGTAGAGTAAACTTAAAACTTTGCAGAAATATGTTATGACATCTTAGGCACCCAAGGTTGTCTTTCCGGCATGCACGCACACACACACGTGAAAACAATCATTCAATCATCTGTCCTAACGTTATCAGTCATAATGAGAGGCTCCTGTGTGTTGCCTGCTCATTCCCTTTAATCTGAGCAGCTGTTAAACACCACAAAGCCCCAGGTGTCAACCTTACCATCCCACACAGGTGTTCCTTAAGATGTGTGTGTGTGTGAGTGTGTGTGTGTGCCAGGTATCACTTGAACTATGTGAGGAGTGTCTTTGAGCTGATTGAGACCCTTAGTGTTCTTAAATATAACTACAAACTGCTGAGTAGTATAAGTGTGCAAGTTTTATTATGAAATACATAAATAGAAGCTAGTCATATCACAATTAAAATATTTTTTTTGTTTTATTTTTACCACTCAACTAAATATTAATACCGGAAACAACCTTCACATATTTGAAATTAGAGTTCATAATATTAGAAAACGAGCAGTGATTCTTGCTCTGTAAGATCTCAAACCAGCTTTAGTCAGTATCTCACTGGACTACTTGGGACTAGTTGGCAATTTGTTTAGTGTCCCAACTTTTTGGGAATCCGGTTTGTATATATATATATATATATATACTAAACAAATTGTGAATAAAAACTGAATGCAATGATGTGGAGGTGCCAACATCTATTATTTTATTCAGAATAGAACACAAATCACAGATCAAAAGTTTAAACTGAGAGAATGGATCATTTTAAGGGAAAAATCTGTTGTTTCCAAATTTCATGGTGTCAACAAATCCCAAAAAAGTTGGGACAAGTCCATTTTTACCACTGTGTGGCATCCCCCCTTCTTCTTACAACACTCAACAGACGTCTGGGGACAGAGGAGACCAGTTTCTCAAGTTCACAAGCAGGCCCAAACCATGATGCTGCCACCACCATGTTTGACAGTGGG